CTCCGCCCGCTGGGCGCCGGCTGGGACGCGCGCGCGCCGGGGAGCCGCCGGGGGCCGGGGCAGGCTCCGGAAGGAAGGGGCTGGCCGGCCAGGAAGTCTTTGGGCCCGATCACTTCCGATGGCCCTGCTTTCCCGGGAGCCGTGGGGCCAGACCGAGGCCTTCTCGGAGCCCCGGCCCGGCCTGGGCTGAACCTGCCGGCCCCTGTCCTCAACCAGATCGACTCGATGGTCCCCCGAAGGTCCTCTCAGCTCCCTGGCTGCGCTGCTGGGGTTGGAAAAAGACCGCTGTGCAGAGGAGTGTACAGAGAGGGAAAGAGAGGGGCGAGAACTAGGATTGCGCGTTTATCTGCATCTCTTGTTCCTGGGGAGGGGGTCCACAAGAGCCACTTGGGGTGAGATGAGGGAGGGAGGCATGCGCCCATTCCGTCAGTGTCGCTGCTGGGGAGTTGAAATAATTTCTAAGTAACACTGAGTTCCGTAACTTACCTTCTGCCTGACTAAAGGCAAGTTACTGGAACCCCTGAGTCCAGTTTCCCCCTCCTCCAAACACACTCAATAGAGTCCCCTGGGGGCCCATCAAGTCGAGCTGGTTTAGGACAAAGGCCGGAGTATCATTTACGTGAGGTGTTTGTAATGGCATGTTTATATAGAAATAAGTATATACCGGCCCATCTATAGACCTAGCTACTCGGGAGGCTAAGGCAGGAGAACTGCCTGAGCCCCGGAGGTCAAGGCTGCAGTGAGCTATGATTGTGCCACCGCGCTGCAGCCGGGGGTACAGAGAACAAGCCTGTCTCACGCAACAACAATAACAAGAAAGAAAGAAAAAGAAGAGAAATAAGTGTATACATGGTGAGTCAAGCATTTGGCTAGGTACTTTAAATAGCTACAGTCAGCCCCATTTTACAGACGGCTTGGGTTGAATAACATATTCAAAGGCACAACTACTAAGGAGTGAAACCCGGAATCAGACCCACAATACGGTATGTCTCTCGGGTCTGCGTGGATATTGCCATCTCCCGCATGCAAAGCACTGTAGGAAACACGGGTCTTTCACTCAAGTCCTCTCGACCTCTGGGAGAGAGGGCCCATTCGTATCCTGTTCCTAAGTGAGAAAGCAGACCTGGGAAGACAGGAGCTGCCGGAGTCTGCGTGTGCTGTCCCCCGGCTGCCCTGCTGTCCTTTGGTGACCATGTGCCCCCTCCTCCCGCAGGACCCGCTACATCAGCACGGAGCTGGGCATCAGGCAGAGGCTGCTGGTGGCCGTGCTGACCTCACAGGCCACGTTGCCCACGCTGGGCGTGGCGGCGAACCGCACGCTGGGGCACCGACTGGAGCGAGTGGTGTTCCTGACCGGCGCGCGCGGCCGCCGCGCCCCCCCTGGCATGGCTGTGGTGACGCTGGGCGAGGAGCGTCCCATCGGGCGCCTGCACCTGGCGCTGCGCCACCTGCTGGAGCAGCACGGCGACGACTTCGACTGGTTCTTCCTAGTGCCGGACACCACCTACACCGAGGCGCACGGACTGGCGCGCCTGGCCGGCCACCTCAGCCTGGCCTCCGCCGCCCAGCTCTATCTGGGCCGGCCCCAGGACTTCATCGGCGGAGAGCCCACCCCGGGCCGCTACTGCCACGGTGGCTTTGGGGTGCTGCTGTCGCGCGCACTGCTGCAGCAGCTGCGCCCCCACCTGGAAGGCTGCCGCAACGACATCGTCAGTGCGCGCCCGGATGAGTGGCTGGGCCGCTGCATTCTCGACGCCACGGGGGTGGGCTGCACTGGCGACCACGAGGTGGGACGACGAGCCACCCCACTGGCGCCTCCTGTCGTGTGTACCGCCCCTGAGAGGCAAAGGGGTGGTGGAGACACAGGCCTGGGTTTCCATGCCAGTTCTGTCATTTTCTGTCCCTGTGACCCTGGGTAAATTAATCTCCTGAGCTTCGTTCCTCACCCATGACAATGGAAATAACTATCGCTCAGAATTGTGAGGATGAGAGGAAGTCAGGGAGACTTGCACATAGTAACCACTACATGTTAGTTACTATTTTATTTGAGTCCCTGGACAGCTCTGAGACAGGATGAGCTAGCAGAGACTTGCCCAAGGTTGCACAAACTTACATTTGGCCGGTAGACGTAAACCCACGGAAATCTGACTCCAGGTCCTCATCAGGTCATAGAGTGAGAAGATGAGACACTCGATTCCATCCCATTATGGACCCCTTCCCTTCCTCTCCCTAGGGGGTGCACTATAGCTATCTGGAGCTGAGCCCTGGGGAGCCCGTGCAGGAGGGGGACCCTCGTTTCCGCAGTGCCCTGACTGCCCATCCTGTGCGTGACCCTGTGCACATGTACCAGCTGCACAAGGCTTTTGCCCGAGCTGAGCTAGAACGCACATACCAGGAGATCCAAGAGTTGCAGGTATGGTCTGGGCCTGGGTGTTGAGGGGAAGGAATGGGTGGTGAGGGGAGAGAAGGGGCTGTGGGGGGAACAGAAGCTGAGAGGTCTCAGATCCCAGAGAAATGAAAAGTCAGCGCTACAATCAGAGCAAACCAGCTTCCCAGCCCATATGTTTCCACATTCTCTGAGGAGCCTCTAGAAACCCTCCTTTCAGCTCTTAGGCTGCTTATCCTGGGGCAAGAATAGGTGGGAGGGAGCGGAGGTTGGCAGGGGACTGGGAACCCATCCTAAGTGGTATCTGCTGCCTACCTCAGCTGTGTGCCGGCCCCTGCGGTCTCTCCCTTGCTCATGGCCTGTTTCTCCGACCTAGTGGGAGATCCAGAACACCAGCCGTCTGGCAGCTGATGGGGAGCGGGCAGCTACCTGGCCTGTGGGTATTCCAGCACCCTCCCGCCCAGCCTCTCGCTTCGAGGTGCTGCGCTGGGACTACTTCACCGAGCAGCATGCTTTCTCTTGCGCTGATGGCTCACCCCGCTGCCCATTGCGTGGGGCCGACCGGGCTGATGTGGCTGACGTTCTGGGGGCGGCCCTGGAGGAGCTCAACCGCCGCTACCACCCAGCCCTGCGGCTCCAGAAGCAGCAGCTGGTGAACGGCTACCGACGCTTTGATCCAGCCCGCGGTATGGAGTACACGCTGGACTTGCAGCTGGAGGCACTGACCCCTCAGGGTGGCCGCCGGCCCCTCACCCGCCGCGTGCAGCTGCTTCGGCCACTGAGCCGCGTTGAGATCTTGCCTGTGCCCTATGTCACTGAGGCCTCGCGTCTCACTGTGTTGCTGCCTCTGGCTGCCGCTGAGCGTGACCTGGCCCCTGGCTTCCTGGAAGCCTTCGCTACGGCAGCACTGGAACCTGGTGATGCCGCTGCGGCCCTGACCCTGCTGCTATTGTACGAGCCTCGCCAGGCCCAGCGCGCGGCCCACGCAGATATCTTTGCACCTGTCAAGGCCCACGTGGCAGAGCTGGAGCGGCGCTTCCCTGGTGCCCGGGTGCCGTGGCTCAGCGTGCAGACGGCCGCCCCCTCACCACTGCGCCTCATGGATCTGCTCTCCAAGAAGCACCCGCTAGACACACTGTTCCTGCTGGCCGGGCCAGACACGGCGCTCACGCCTGACTTCCTCAACCGCTGCCGCATGCACGCCATCTCCGGCTGGCAGGCCTTCTTTCCCATGCACTTCCAAGCCTTCCACCCGGCCGTGGCCCCACCGCAAGGGCCCGGGCCGCCCGAGCTGGGCCGCGACACCGGCCGCTTTGACCGCCAGGCGGCCAGCGAGGCCTGCTTCTACAATTCCGACTACGTGGCGGCCCGCGGGCGTCTGGCGGCGGCCTCGGAGCAGGAGGAGGAGCTGCTGGAAGGCCTGGATGTGTATGAGCTGTTCCTGCGTTTCTCCAGCCTGCACGTGCTGCGGGCGGTGGAGCCGGCGCTGCTGCAGCGCTACCGGGCCCAGACGTGCAGCGCGCGACTCGGCGAGGACCTGTACCACCGCTGCCGGCAGAGCGCGCTCGAGGGCCTCGGCTCCCGAACCCAGCTGGCCATGCTGCTCTTCGAGCAGGAGCAGGGCAACAGCACCTGACCCGCGTGTGCCCCTGAGCCCCGGCACGGCCGCCCCCTCCCCGCGCCTCCCCACGACTGGAGCCACCTGCCAGCCTCGCCGGACAGGGCTGGCCGTAGCCTCAGACCCCAGGGGGCCCACGGTGCCCCCTCGCTGGCTCTGTGGGTCCCTGGGCTCAGGACAAGCCCTGGGGAAGGTGTCCTTAGAGCCATCCCCTTCGCCCCAAACCCAGTCTCCCTGACCCCTTGACGCTGCTGATTCGGGCTGTGGCCTCCGCGTATTTATGCAGTACAGTCTGCCTGACGCCAGCCCCCCTCCCCCCTCGGGGTCAGGCCCTGGGGGCTGGGCTGTAGATGAGTTGTTGGGGAAGGGAGGAGCTGGGAGAGGGGTGGGCGTCCCAACTTCTCCCTTCTGGACCCTGCTGAAGCTCCCTGCCTTGAATAAACTGACCGAGTGTGGACAAGTGATTCCGAGGTTTGGAAGAGGGGGGTGGAGCGGGAGGAAGGGCTGGCTGTGAGGACACAGTCTCCCTCACCCCTGCTGGGGCTTGCCTTTCCGTTTACCCCGACCCAGTCATGCATGTGCTCAGCCCCGCCCAGCCCCAGCGCGTGCTTGGTCACACATACACACAGAATCCTTTATGCCTCTTTATTCCCGATTTCGTCAGCACTTTATAAAATCAGACCGAGGGAGGGAGGCCCAAGAAGGCTTCCTTCCCACCCTCCAAGCTCAGCCAAGGTCTGGAAGGTCTCCTGCCTGCTCCCTGTGGAGGGGACTCTGAGGGTGGGGCTGGGGCTGGTGCAGGGGGAACTGGGAGCGGGACCAGGCCTGCTGGGCCACCCACTCCCCCTGCCAAGATGGGAGCTGGGCCTGGAGAGAGGCAGGAAGTAGG